GGTCCCTATGCTTTGCTAAGCTTGTTCTAAGAAGGTGCTTTAGACCACTGAGCCATCTCACCAGCCACTTACAAGTGAATTTTAAAGAAGCAGCATTAAAATCTGTTCCACTTGGAAATTTTTTATTATCCGTTATTTCCCATGTAGCCACAAGAGGGCAGCACAGCGACATTCCAATTAAAAAGAAGTGTACTAGTTCCCTGCCCAAGAGCGGCCATTTCACTGCTTGAGTAGTGTTTATTTTCTTAACTATTTTCAAAATGGCTGAACTGCTTGGCAGTGTTTGGGGACTAGAAGCAGCAAATCTACAATGGAACTCCATAAAATTTACTTCTAGACTAAGCTGCTATTGATGATAGAAGAGCTAATAACTTCATGGCACTTACATGTCAGGCATATACAAAAAGTCGCTTAATCCTTAGAATAAACTTATAAAGACGACAAAGCCCAAGCACGTGCACAAGACATCACACCAGAGTCTCAAAGGCAGAATTCACACTATAATCTCTACATGATCTTGCTGCCCTTGTCATATGTACATTTTCCACTTGAATAGATTATGAAACCACCCAAGCCAACGCTTAACTTATTCTTCTTTGCTATCTCTGTATCTTACAAAAATGGAAATGCTATTATTAAAAAGCAAATTTCTTAGTGGTAGAGAAATCTGGAGTTCTTCTACTGTCCTTAAGCTCTCCACCCCCAGCCTAGTTCAAGTGCTATAGGCAGCCAAGCTAGATAGAAATAGAGGCAGCCAGGGCTAGGCCCTCAAGGAGACAGCACAGAACACAAGATACCCTACAACTTAAGAGGGACAGAGGCTCTGCTGCAGGCCAGACAGAAAGACCAAAGAGCAAATAAATGTTGTCCCACTAAAAATAAGCACACAGGACTAATCATCACCTCGAGGAAGCCGGGAAGGGTCACCAATCCATCTGTTACTGGCTGCCAGCTACCCTGTTCTATATTCCTGCCCCCTTCCTCTGTGACTCGCTTCCCCATTTGGTCCTGGATTTAATCAACTTTGGCTGAGCAATGGTGACTGTAACTATGGATCACCTCATGCCCACCTAAGCAAGTGCATATTTTCTCTACCTTAGACCTGCATAGCTTTGCCCTATAAAAATACCTAGAAGAGACAGCTTCCTAGGTAACCCGCCTGGGTCCCCCTTCTGTCCTTCTCTTGGACAGAAGCTTTCTTTACCCCAGTAAACATTCTGCTATTAACCTCCATTTGTTTCTAAAATTCACTCTTTGGTTTCAGAGAACATGAACTTGTTCCAGGTACCTTTTAGGTTGGGAGTTTCATTTCCCTATACCACAAGCACTCACATTCTGAAAAATATAAACAAGATTAAAAGACAAGCGACTGGGAAAATGAATTTGTATATGTAACAAAAGGTATATGAAGAGTTACATTATCAAAAATCTAATAGAAATCTTAAAGAAAATACCCAATAAATTCAAGATAATTAACCCTTCCTAGTAATTCGAGAGATGTATATCACAAGATTATATATTTGCTTTGCAGAAATTAAGTCACATATTAAAGGATTTGGGAGGCTGAGGCAGGAAGATCGCTGAGAGGCCAACCTGAACTGCACAGTAAAACCCTGTGTCAAAACGACAAAGAAAGGGAGCAAGTGAAAAAGTAAACAATAGTAATATTATGAAATTAAAAATCACTAAAATAATCAATAAGGGCTCTGGAGAGTGAAAATTTTAACCAGTACTGTAAATATGCCTATAAATACACTATTCAATCTGTGGGTATATAATCTATGTAAACCAAAACTGTGGTTGACAAGCACAAGAATGTTCAGAGTGCTGCTCATAAAAACCAAAATAATAACAATGATCTACACAGTGATACCTCAATTCACAAACTCAATTTATTTTGATTTCGGAAAAGATGGCCACATTTGGGGCCAGGGATATAGCTTAGAGGCATAAACATCTACCTGACAAGAATAAGAACCAGAGTTTGATCCCTGGCCCTGCACCCATGAGTCTCAGCCCCGGATTCCTGGGCACCCACCCTGTGGCCCCAGAACAGGGTGTGGAGGCACTCCCCTGTGATTCCCAGCATTCAAGAGGTTGAGACAAGGGCCAGCAAAATAGCTCAGCAGATTAAAGTGCCTGCAAGCAGGAGCCAGGGATTCGATTCCCAGGCCTGCCAGGCCTGCCATGTGGGCCCAGCCCTGGGGGCATGCTGAGATGGCAACTGAGACTGTGTGTGGTGCCACATGCCTGTAATCTCAACTCTTGGAAGGCTGTAAACAGGTGGATCACTGTGAGTCTGATCTAGTAGTGACACCCTGAACACCCTTAGACCCTTCTCTAAAATACACACAAAAAAAAAGGTTGAGACAGGAGGATCACTGAGTTTGAAATCTGCCTGGGGGCTATAAAAGTGAGCACCAGGCCAGCCCAAACTGCACTGTGAGACCCTCTCAGGAAAAAAAAAAAAAAAAAAAGATGGCCACATTTGTGCTTATGTAGGAAAAATATCAGGCCATGGTTGGATTTGTAATCCAATGCAGTTTGCAAACAAAAACATTGTGGTGTTTTCGTTTTTTGCTTTAGGGAAGGGTCTACAGGTGTTGAGGGTCTCACTACTAGATCAGATTTGTAGTGATCTGTTTACAGCCTCCCAAAAGATGGGATTACAGGCTCACGCCACCATACCCAGTCTCAACTGCCATCTCATCTCATTGTGCCCTGGGGGCGGGGCCAGCACAAACAAAAACATTTTGCCAAAGTTTGTCTATAAACCAAATTGTTAGGAAAAGAAAAATTCGTGACCTGAGGTTATTACTATTATTTCCATATACAGCAATCTAAAAATGTAAAATATCCATACTACAAAATTAAATGCAGTAGTTTATATGTGCTACCCAAATGAGCACAAAGCAGTTGTATATTTTAGCAGCTCAGAGCTGCTTCATTCCCAGGATGCACCATTCTTCTGGAAATAACTTCATGGTGGCATCAGGACATGGGCTCCCTTTCTACATGTACCAGAGAACACCATTTGAACTGAGCAAGTACAATGGACTCCAAGGAACTAAAGAGTCCTTCAGGATGAACTTCGAAACTGTTTATCTCACCTTCAGGAGAAAAACAATAACCAAACCCCCAAACTAATCAATTTTTA